GCGGTTCAGTCAGGGGTCCACAGCTTCTAGGCTGGGGTCTGACTTGGATGTCAGCTCTCAGGTGACTTGCTCAGAACTACCTGCTTCCCCATAAGAGCAGAAACTCAACCCAACTTAGGCTGAAAATAGAATGTCTCCTGGTTGCCTGCAGGACAGCACTGACAACCCTCTGCCTTCCTGCCCTGTGCTTCCAGCTCTCCTGGGCAGCCAAGACCTTACGTCCAAATTGCAGACTCCAAGCTTTAGAGTGAAAGCAGGGACTGGTTTGTTAGGTTTTCTTGGGAACACTGGGGACGGGTGCAAACATACAAATACAAACACACATACAGTCTGGAGAAACAAAAGGTAGTTCATTAGAGGACTCAGGTGTCTTCATGGAAAAAGTGTTGAAGGAAGATAAGGGGATTGCCTAGGCTGCTGACTTGCTGTGTAACCTCAGGCAAGTCAGGTAGCTTCTCTGGGCTTCATTCCCCCTGATGGTAAAAGGAAGAGGTTGGGTTAGAATAGTGATTTTCAAACTGTGTTCTGAGGAACCCCAGGGGTTCCCTGGAGCCCTCATAAGAGCTGCTGGGGGTGAGAGGATGAAAGCAGAGTGGGTTAGGTTCTGGGCTGTTCCTCCCTGATTCAGTAAGAGCACCTCAGCTTTTATACAAATGTTCAGGATAAGATTTCTCTTGAACAAAAGAATCCGCACTTAAAAAGAGTTTGCAAAGAACTGGAGTAGGTGGTCATTGAGATTCCTTTGAGCTCTGAAATTCTGTGATTTGCTTCTTCCTCCTCAGCATCTAGGGGACCGGGATGGTCGTACACACCATGTTTCTCACCGTTGGGTACTTTCCCATCTTGTCAGTAGTTTTGGAAAGTCCTCTTGTGTTTGTATCTGCACACATGTTCTTCTCAGCAGAGAGGTTTTCATGGAAAACATTTTGTTCTGCTATCGTTTTTAGAAAAGAATCTTTTGGAGAAATTATATTTGTTTCTATGCTGTCTTGGTGCAACTATTTCAAGTTTCTGGCAATGAATGTGATGACAACAAACTCTGTCTCACGGTCCTGAATGTGTAATACTGCGTATCCGGGTGCCTTTGTGGGGAATTACTGGCTTCTGGACTAGTGGATAAAAGGGGTGATTAAGATAAAACCAAACTAAAAGAGGAATCTGACTCTAATGAAGTCCAACTATCACACTGAACCTAAATTTGATTGGAGTGGAGATCTTGGATGCTATCAAACACTAAGCTCGTAAAACCTGTATTTGAATGTCTCAGAAGGGGGCAGAAGAACTTTAGACTTTCCAGCCCATCCTCCTTCTGCTGTCTCAGCCACTTAGCAATAACAGGTAACATGAGTTAGGCTTACAAGAGCCACAGAGTGACTAAGCCTGGATTCTGGAGGGAGACTTCATAGGTTTGAATCCTGGCTTTCCATTTGCTGGCTGGATAAGTCTGGGAAGCTTATTTATTACCCTTACATCCCAGTTCCCTCATCTGTAAACTGAGGGAAAAAGAATGCATCCCTTATAGGGTGCTGGGTGAATTAAATGAGCTCAAAGCTGGGAAGTGGTGAGAGCCCTAGTGTGTGCTCTGTTATCTATGGGTTGCCGTGACATTTGTTGAAGTAATTAAACAAGGAGGCCATTTGACTGTGGTGGCTTTAATGCCTGGGTAACCCAAGCAAGCAAACCGAAACCTAAGCCAGAGTTGATTGTAAATGTGCTCGTATCTGAAAAAATGAAATTAAAAGCAACCAAACAAGTGGCAGCAGACTGGGATTTCCCAAATAAAGCAACTGCTTAAGTTATAGCCACTCAAATAATTTCCTTGGTTTGCTTCCACGTCTGTACTATAAAAACCATTCCCCTGGCTCTTGTTGGTGGAGCGCTCTTAAACACCTAAGCACTTCCAGTTTGGTGATGCCTGAA